TTGACGCCTGTGTTTTTGACATGCCACATTCCTTTTTGTGTTTTAGGTTTATGGTGTTATTATCCACCAAACTATAGGTTCTAAGGAAGCATAACAGTAGCTACTTAAAAGTATCTGTGACTTAGCCTAATAGATATGTGATGACAGTGCTAAGTTGGAAAAATACTCAAAGACTGGACTCCAGTCCCCTACACCTGCTCAAATCAGCACTGATGACCACTTCTCCTCAAAGGTCTGATTTAACAGTAATAGAGGGCAGCATAACCCATTTTATAATGAAGTTATGAGCTGCTGATATCGAGCCAAAATTCTAATCTTTATGCCACAAAACTGTTAACTATTTGTTCAAACTGTTCAGAGTCTTGAATAAGCATTACTATAGCTGTTACATTTTCCATAAAGTACAGTCTCACATTTCTCCTACTTTGCAGGGATTTCTCTAAATTCTACTTTGATTTTATTTTGTAAAATGACTTTGATTTTATTTTGTAGAATGCAAGTTAAATATAAAAGGGGATGGAGTGAGAGGTGCCTATACTATATCTTCTTAGATAAGGCCTCCTGTCTCCTGCTCTTTTGTGTGTGTGTGTGTGTGTGTGTTACCACTTCAGTTATTTTGATTTGATCATTGGTTTTCTTTGTGATATGAAAACCTCACATCTTCAATGTGAGCTGTCAAGTGATGGTTTCCCTCTTCATTAAACCAAGAGCTAAGAGTTTTTCTTGTTGCAATCTGTACTGTTAATGTTCACCCGTCTTATCTAGCTAAAGTTTGAGTCATGGCCATTATGCAACGTATTAGTTGTATCTCTTATATGAGTATATATTGCCGGTAAACATGACCCCCAAATTCCTGTATCCTATCCCAAATGAAAACAAACATAGTGTGACTCAACAAATTTAATATACTTCTTTTAACAGAATAGAAAGTAAGTTGCAAAACTGTGTCTTAGATTAGTGGTTCTCAAACTGTGGGTCATGACCCCTTTGGGAATGAACAACATTTCGCAAGGGTCACATCTCAAATATTCTGCACATCAGGTATTTATATTCTAATTCATAACAGTAGCAAAATTGCAGTTATGAAGTGGCAATGAAGTAATTTTATGATTTGGGGTCACCACAACATGAACCTCCGAGTAATAGCAAAGATTTTAAAAGCAGCCATTTAAAAGGGCCCACAACCCTCTTCCTGTTGACTGAACGGCTGCCTCTCCCCCACTGCACCTGAAACCTCTGAACCTGACTTTACAGGGCTTCGGGTCGCAGCAGTGGAAGACGACATCCACATGGAGGGCATCCCACGGCTCGGGCGGGCAGCCTGTTCCTCTCAAGACTTCCCTGGGGAGCAGAAAGAGGATGGGATGGGGATTGGTGGGAGGAACAGGGGAGAAATGGAGGGTATGGGAACTGGGATTGACATGTAAAACAAATTTGTTTCAAATTTAAATTAAAAAATTATACATATAAATAGAGATACTTTATTGTGACAGTAAATTATAATTACAAGATGACTAATGAAGTAAAACATGCTTTCATTTTTTATATCTTGTGGACATCCTTTTTTCGAACTGCTTTTTCAAATGTGTCATCATTTTGTTGGTGGACAAGGGTATCTAATAACTTTCTCTGCTTTCTTTGCTGGGTTTGGAAGATTTTTTTGGGGGGTGTACAAGTTACTTATGAATTCTGTGCATTGCAAATATTGACTGTCTTCTGTGGTTTACATTCTTTACTTATTACACAGTGGGATCCAAGGTAGAGAAAAAATTATGTAATTGAAGTTTATTTTGTGTAATGGTAGGAATATGTTTGATATATGATCAGGTTGTGTTTTTATAAATTATTTTTGTGATAATATACATGTTGAAATGATTAAAATTTTAATATAGCTGGTGGGTAATTTCCACAGGAGCTTTAAAGGAACAAGGATGCTCCTGGTACTCACATTATATTCAGTAAGATTGGTGGTGCACACCTTTAGTCCCAACACTCGGGAGGCAAAGGCAGGCGGATCTCTCTGAGTTCAGGGCCAGCCTGGTCTACAGAGCTAGTTCCAGGACAGCATCCAAAGCTAATGTTAAGTTGTTTACTTTCCTGCTTAAGGGGGACTGACTATTTCAATCTCAGAGGAAACTGTTACACAACATATGTCATCCATATCCTTTCCTCTACTTCAGTACCATGTTGGCCTTAACTTGTTTACCTTAGCTCCTTTCCTTTATATGAATAAGTAACTGAAATACTTAGGGCATTTATTTAGTGATCAATGTCTCCATCACTCCCATCACAAAAGTATTAATATATGCCAGTTATCTGTATCTAAAGCTTTATTTAAGGTCCTGTCAAAAGGCAAGCTTTAACAATCTAGAGGCTTATATGGTTACCAGATGGTTCACTTTTTTCAAGCACTTGGATTTCTTGTGAAATATTATTACATTGCCCTTTTAATATGTAACCTGTCACTTTTAGCCGTTTCTTTCTATAGTGTAGTCATCTCTGTCATCTCATAACTTTTTCATTACTTTTTTTCATTACTTTTCTCCTTTGTCAGTTACATGTTAATTTTTTATCTCCCTCCCGTGTGTGTGTGTGTGTGTGTGTGTGTGTGTGTGTGTGTGTGTATGTGTGTGTGTGTGTGTGCACGCGCGCACGTGTGCGTGTGCCTGTGTATTCCATTTGTGTCACAGTGTCCGTGGAGGTCAGTACAGATTCTTCTCTCTGGAATTAATGGTCTATTAAATAATAGTGACTGACATTCACTTCCTATACAGTTATGTTATCCTGGTGTAGAAACAGCTTCCAGAGTTCCTTATGCTCAGATGAAGACCTCCCTGTAGTGACACCAGTAACAAGGCCAGAGTCTATGTCACAATGTGACAGCCTCCTACAGTGCATGGAACTGGGGGAACTGGAGTGATGGAGAACAAACAAGGGAGAAAGCTGCAGTATGGGAGAGTGGGCTGCGGATGAGGTTTCACCCATCGAATGTGTAAATCACTAAGAGAAATACAAAAGGGTATAGTGTCTTCTAGTAAGACTGCACTCGGAAGAATTCATATTTACTCTAACTCATGACATAGATGTTTCTTAGTTTCTTTCCTGCTGTGGTGATGAAACACCCTGACAACAGCAATTTAGGGAAAGAGGGGTTTGTCTCGCGCTTCCAGGTAATAGTTCAGAGGAAATCAAGGTAGCAGAAATTAGAAGTATCTGGTCCCATCACATCCACAGCCAAGATTGAGGAACACATGCACACAAGATTGCCAGTGTCAGCTCACTCTCCCCATTATATTCAGCCCAGGGCCTTGCCCTAGGGAATGTTGCCACCCATAGTGGGCTGAGTTTTCCACTATCAACTAATGTGATCAAGACAATCCCAGGAGCTAACCTTATCTAGAAAATTTCCCATTGAGATTCCCCCACCCCGGGATTCTAGATTGTGTCAAGGTGATAATACTGTCAAAAACTATGAGAAAATATATCCAGCAGATAACTAAGATGATATTCTTAATGAACTTTTTTCTTCATCTACCTTTATAAAAATTGGAATGTAATTTTTTCCTCTGACTAAAAGTAGTCTTTTGTGTCTAATTTTGCTTTTAATCTTTTGTAATATTTTTGATTCTCACTTTTGTGACAATTTTACATCATGCATGTACTAGTAAGGGTTCTCTAGAGGAACAGAATAGATAGAACGAATCTATCTGCCATCTATCTATTTATCTATCTATCAAGGGGATTTATTAGAATGGTTTACAGGCTATGGTCCAGCTAGTCCAACTATAGCTGTTCATCAACAGAGGAATCCAGTAGTTGCTTGTCCTAAGACTGGATTTCTCAGCTGGTCTTCAGTTTATACAGCTATCCTCAAGAAGTAAAGTTCTAATGCCAGTGAAGGAATGAGTTTACCAGCAAAGTTAAGAGCAAGCAGCCAAAGAGAAAAAGCTTCCTTCTCATATGTTCATTATATAGGATGCCAGCAGAAGGTATGGCCCAGATAAAAGTGTATCTTCCCAGCTCAGAAGATTCAGATTAAAAATGGGACTTCCAATTTCTAAAGGTTTAATTAAGAAAAGATTTCTCAGAGGTGTACCCAACCACTTAGGTTTTAGTTAGTTCCAAATGTAGTTGACAACCAAGAATAGTCACCAAAATGCACCTAATCACTTAGTTATTTCTCCCCTATCATTTATGACTAGAAATTAAACTCAAGATTGCAGCTCTGATTAGTATCACCAAAAGTGACAGGCAGTCTTCTGAAGCATACATTTTATTTTACATATGTCACTACTGAAATCTGGTTAGATTTTAAGAAATGGGTTCTATTATTTTTAGATGTGACAGCAACATTGTGGTCATCTTAAAAACCCTTATTTGGATACATAATAAAAATATTTACAAAAGATTTGTAGGATTTGTCCCAAACCCTAATGATGGAGGAGTGGATGAGAAATGGATGAGACAGTTTCCATCAAAGGCTGTTAGTCTGAAGTGTAGTTAATGGACACTGGTTTTGTGTTTGGGTGTTCAGAGTTCTCTGTTATAAAAAGGAATAAGGTATTCAGTTTGCCTGTCAAATTCATTGAGTAGAACTCAGTACTTGCTGTGGTTTTCTGCTGTTTAACAGTGTGGACCTCTTACTGCTATCTCAATAAACTCGTCTTTATCTCCTTTCCATCTCAGCTACCCATTCTCCGAGATCTTTTTCATGATCAAATGTTCCTCCCATTCATCCTTCAGCCATAAGGGCAGGGTGGGAAAAGGCTTCTGGTCTGTGGACTTCTCCCATTAGGATTATGAGGAAGCACCTACTAAAAGGGAGAACTGTTAGCTGGTAGTATAGAACAAAATCATGTCCCTTCCCCAACCTCCAACAACAACTGCATGAATCTACCAAGACATAAAGCAGACAAGCTGAGTAAACACATCTCAAAGAATTATGACATTCTACTAATTTATTTTCATAGAATATCACAGTAGCAAACAGAGTTCCAACTCAGAAGAATCCACATGCAACTGATATCAACGATAACGGATTCTATTAATGGCCCATGCAAGTGATCTCAACAGCTTTTTGGATGAACTCAATAGGTTCCAAGATTTTGAAATATTTGCCACTTGAGGAACTAGGAAGTTTCTTTGCTGTAATATTTTGGGGGGAATAACCCAGCGAATGGTTTGGGGGATAACATCCATTGAATCTGCTGGTATACAGGCATAAAGAAAGGGCTGTTTTTCTCTTTCTGAATAGAATTTGATATTCTGCCAATGAGCACTGGGTTCTGGCATCTGATTGGTTTGTGGATTTTGTTCTTTGGATTCATAATGATATGGTCTCTTCCTCCTTGGGTGTTGCTCTTCACTGTGTGAGTGACTATAATTTGAACTCTGATCAACATTGGACTTTCTCCATAAATCAGATTTAGCTGTCCTTCTTTCTTTGAATTGGGGGTACATGTAAGACTTGCCATGTTTTCTTGCAACATTCAATTTAATATTTGATTCAGTTGTTGAGGAGGTTAAAGAGTAGCTTGTTTTGCTCCATGTGCTTGAGGTCCAGTCTTCATTCCATGTTATGCAAGATTTTGTAGATTCTATTTCCACAGTATTGGATGAGCTGTGAGACAACCAGTCAGGAGACTGCATTTTGGAGTTTATCCTATATTTCCTAGTATTTTGAGACTGATAGCAAGACTGTGTCACGGGGGAGATGCGTTTTCTATGGGTTCTGGTATGATAATCATTTGGATCTCCACAGTAAAATGGTTTCAAAAGAGTTGTTTCATCCACTTTGTGAGTATCTGCCAATGGAATGCCTTTAGGTACTTCAAACAGGAACTTTTGTGAATCTTGAGTTAAGTAAAAATTGGTTTCTATAAACACACATTCCTCACTGTCACTTTCCTCAGAAGCTGGACATTCCACCAAGTCAGTTAAAGTCTCAGTATTTAGTGGGACATCATTAGTCCAGTCATCAGAAATCCAAGATGAATATGAACCAGCTAAATCAGAAGTATTTTGCTGAGTTCCTGAAACAGAATGCTTGTATGAACTAGTTTCTTGAAACCATACATGATATTGTTTATCCTTTTCTGATGTCATCTGAAATTTTAAATCTGAAAGAATTGTCATATCATTCTGCTCTGTGCCTTGTAGATCAGGGTAAAAGGCAGGTACACTCGCTGGTTCCTGGAATTTTCTGGTTAGTAATGAGCTTTGTTGTGAATTTTTCTTTTGGAAAGGAACATATTGTAAAGGTTCTTTGTCAAAGGAAAGAATACTACTTTCTTCAGTATTTTCTACTTTTTCACATTCTAGGCCTGAACCCATGCTTGACTTAGAAGTATGTTTGGGCAGTACATTTGGCTTAGAGACCACAGTGATAGGTCTAGCAATAGAGCGGAGGTATTTGCATTGCAAATCATGATCGATTTCACAAAAAGATCTTTCATCAAAAAGTACTAAAACCCTGTTTGTTCGTTTTGGTTCTTTGGTGGTAGAATGGATACACTTAAACAAGGGTTTTGATTTATCCTGGGCATTGGCCATTGCATAAGATTGTGCTACAATTCTGGGAAGGCCTGTTGCTTGTCTCTCTAGTGCTTTTGTACTAAAGTGCACAAGGAGGTCTTCCTTTTCTTTCTCTGAGAACTTGTGGAGAATGTGGCTTGATGGGGGATTACTCCAAGTTTCAAATGATGTTACACTTTCTTGCTTTTCAGTGCCCTTTGATTCTACCATGACCTTGCTGCTGCTATTTGAAACATTCATTGTTGGTGTCTTTATATAGTCGAGAGGAGGACATTGTCCTCGGGAATCAATTTTTAAGTTAGCAGGTCTATTATCAACTTTTGGAGACCTAAAATTCATTTTTATAATTTTCAGATAAACCTTGCAACTGTAATCTTCTGGAATAGCCCTTTGTTGGTGAGAGTCATACTTCTTTAGGGACATGTTCATCATCTTTGATGTCTGATTTTCAAATGGACACTCTGGGGGTGTTATAATGTCTTTTCCTATTTCTTCTTGTTCAGTGGTATTCATGTCAGGTTTATGTATGATATTTAAGTCCTCACTCTCTGCAACAACCCCTTGTCTAGTTTGTAAACATAGAAAACATAAATTTCTGGGTTCAGAGTTCAGTACAGAATCATGGGACTTCTGAGGCAATGCCAGATCGCATTGTTCTTGTTCCAGAACTATTAATGGTGGATCTTCTGTCCTTCTTGTGGCATTACACTCTGCTGTTCTCATGTGTGCCCCTGACTGCATTTGTGGGCTGATATTCACTGCACTTTTCCTATCCACATCTGTTTGTAAAGGTATCCTCTGATTTTCCCTGTAAACTGGACCAATAAGAAGAGGGAAGGAATCCTGCTTTGTTTGCTCTCCACTCTTGCGGTGAGGAATGGCTTGCTCTTTCATGTTAACATTTTCTTCCTTATTTTGAGATGTCTCTTTTGGAAGTAACATTTTGCTCATGTTAGCATTATTCTGTCTATCTTTCTCCGGCTTAGTAGATCTAGCTGAGCCAATCTCCTGTCTACTCTCTGTCACAGGCCCTTTTGAACATACAAGGGTTTCACTTGTGGTCAGTGCCTCCTTGAGTAATTTATTTACTGGAGAAACTGGAAACTTAGGACTTGTTTTGTGACTTAAATTATCTTTGATTTCATTTTCCTTTTTCCAACTTCCAATTTTAGTTGAAGGTTCTTTTTCACATTTTTCTGGCTGGCCCTTTTGCCCTTTGAAGGACATCTCCAGCATGTTTGCCCTTTTAATGGTACCTAATGTTGTGAGATCTATTTTAAGATCTGGGGGAGCTGACTCACATTCTGAGTCAACTTGTGGAAGCTCACTTATTCGGTGGACACTGGACACTGACTTTGACTTCTGTGACCTGGCTTGGTTCTGTAGCACATTATGTTGTGTTGTCTTAACAATACAGTTATTATTGTCTTCAGCCGACTCTCCATTTTCTGTTTCCTGGGCATCTGCTGCTTTCTGGAAATTTCCCTGTGGGTAAGAGTGTCCTGTATCTCTTGCTGTGTCTCTCTGTGTTTTTTCCTGTGAATACCTAGAAGGTGGTGATAATATGGACAGGAAAGATCGTGTTGCAACCACAGCCAGTTCACTTTTATCTTTGTGTACTTTTTTCTCCAGAACCTTCATATTCAGAACAAATTCCTTTGTATTAAGGAGATATGAAATTGGTGAGACCTTTGTACTTTTGCAGTGCATCCCAATTGTCAAATCTACCACTTTTTGCTTTGTACATGGTTTTCCTTTTCTGACACGACCACACATGTCCTCTTTGTTTGACATTTCATTTGCATCTGATAATGCTGGAAACGTTTGTGGGAATGGGTCAAATAGTCCATTTTCTGGCCTTTCTTCATCTACTTGTACAGCTTTACACAAGGTAACCTTGGTTGTAGAAGGTATGGACGTAAACATTTTTCTTAAAACTTGGGGTTCACTTTTGTCTTGTTCATTTGTTTTGGGTGAGTTAATATGAATAGGTAGTTCTGTTCTCTGAAGCTTCTGGGAGAGAAGTGATTTCAAAATTACATCTGTGTATCGCCTATCTATTTCTTTTCTGTATGTCTCTTCTCTCTGAGGCATATGTTGTTTTTGAACAGCTTCTGTAGTATCATCAACAATGGCCTCTCTAGGTAATGTTTCTCCTTTAGTTGATAGTCTCTGCAAAGCAGAATTTTTAAGTGTTGATTTTGTGTCTTTGAATTCTATTTTTTCAGAGAATTTGGAATGAAACAGATCTTGTAACAAAGAAGAGGATTTAGTCGGAACTAAGCCTTGTTTATCTTCATCCTTTTCCTCTGATATATATTCTTTTTCATTTTGTATACTAATTGGAGTATCTCCAGTAATTGGCTGTTTGTAAATGCCTCCTTCAGAATCTGATGATTTCTGCAAGTATCCCAAGGAAACAGAGGATCTTGTTAACACTGGTGTACATTTTTCCATGATTCCAGCATTAACAATAAGGATAGGTTGGGGAGGCATAGCAGTGGATGTCTTGGTTGACTTCTTAGTTAATGCTACACCTGATTCACGTCTATCTTTAACTTTTCCCTCTTGCTCTCTACTTTTCCAGTTCTGGTCATTCAAATTCTGCATAGGTAAAGTAGGTGATTTCTTTGTCTTCCAATATATATCCTTGGCATGCATTATACTGTTTACATCCACATGCTTTTCTTCTCCTTCCTTTTCTTTCTGTGGCATGTGTTCATTCAGTAATTTTATTTCACTGTAAACTTCTCTACCAGCTATCTGTGCACCTAAAAATGTATTGAGTTGTAATTGTGAGATGGACAATGCTACAATTATGTTTGCCATATCCACGAGTTTTTCCATCTGGGTTTTCCTCTGAAACTCTTTGATACTGGGTGTATGTGACCATGGTAATTTCTTTACAGTTTGATCCATTGAGTTGGTGATCTCTTTGTCTTTCACATCTTTTATGGGTTTATTCTTTTTTTCTTCATGTGTTGGTTCTTTCCTGTTGCTTAGCACATTACCTGGTGATTCCATGCATGCTTTTTTGTCTGACTCTGATTTGTCTTTTATAGTTGGTGGTAGAAAAGAAATTTGTGTTTCTCCTAGTATACCTTCTTCTTCATTCACTCTAGTGTCTGACTTCAGAAAAGATGGAAAAGGCAAGGGAGCTGCTTCCTTTAGAACTATCATTATTGGTTCACCTTTGCCTTTCTTATGTTTTTTTCTTTGCTCTCTAATATTAAAAGGTGGCATGCTGTCATTAAAATGTATAGGTGGGGATAGTCTTTCTCTCAAACTTATGCTATCTTTCCTGTCTTTATCTGTTACTCTAGCCTTTGTCTCATCATATAACTCTTGTATATTGGCTTTACTTATCACATTAGGTAGGATAATGCCTTCATTTGAACCTGCATGTGTGAGTTCCCCTGTACAAGATGCCATAAGAAAATGTTCCTGTTGAGGAGACAATCCATGGTGAGGAATAGAGGGCTTGGAAATATAATTCTTTGTTGCAAAAACTTTATATCCTCCAGTTCTGCCCTGTTTCTGTCCTGTCTTTTCTTTACTGCTCCTCCAGAAAGTCTTCCTCTTCCTGGGAATATTATTCTCCTTGACACTCAGCACATGGTAATTTGCAGACATCTTTGCCTTTAAACCTTTGCCACTAGACCTTGCCAAACCGTCAATGGCTGAGGTTTGTACTTCCTCTTCTTCACATGGTAGATGCAATTTTCTTCTCTTTGCATGGTTAGAAATGGACTCTGTAGATGCAACTTGCCCTACAGGTAATGATTCTTGTGACACAGAGTGTGGCACGTGCCTTTGCCTTACTTCTGTTTCAACTGCCTCTGCTTTGTCTAAAGTAGAGACATCTGAAGAAGTAATGACAGAATGAACTTCTTTTAGGGACATACCTTTTTCCTTTCTGCCTTCTGGCTTCTTTTTACTTTTCTCTTCAAGATGCAGTTTTGGTCTCTTTATTTCGGGTACATATGAAAGCGGTGATTTATTTATGTTCACATATTCAGCCTTGGAATGTGCAGTGCTTCCCTCAAAAGTATTCTTTCCATTCTCTTCTTTATATGATATGTATCTTGAGCTTTTTGAATCACTTACGATGTTATTCAAAGAAGACGCTGCATTACTTGATGTTTCTGCATCTGAAGATTCCATGCTCTGTGAGTATGGAGAAAAGGATCCTGTTTCTATCCATATTTCTTTTATTTCTATATCTACCTTACTGTGAGGTAAAGATGCCAAGGTCAAGCCCTCACCTAGTTCACAGTTTCTTTCCTGCACAGGTCCCAAGTTTTCATGTACATTTGTCTGTTCATCTGTTGCATTTGTGCCATAGTGCCCAGTGGTCCTGGGTACATAAGAAGGTTGTATCTGATTTTTGTTGGAACTTGTGTCTTTGGGGTGCATTACATCTTTTGTTTGCACAAGTTTTCTACTATCCATCCATGTCTGTGACTCACACTGCTTCCCTATTTTTACATTTGACTTACCATCATCTTCAGTTGACTCTGTTTGTTCAGTTTTTCCTGTTTCAAGCAATTTCTGGTGCTGTAATTGTGAATTAGCTGATTTTATGGTTCCTTGCCTCTCTTCTTCTCCTTCTGCTCTGATAGACATCAGCTTATGAGGAGACTTAGAAGGAAGACACTTGGGAGCTACTTTCTCTTTGCTTTCCCCTTGTTGGTCTGCTTTCCCTGGCTCTGTACTGTTAGGGTTCAGTTCCCCTTGAGTGTCACATTTGTGATTCCATGTCTCTTGCTCTCTATTTTCTGGACAGCCTTCCTCTTGTTCCTGGCCATCTGTACCTGCTTCTCCCTGCTCTCTACCCTCTGGATTCTTTTCATTTTCTTCCCTATCATCTTGACTGCATTTCTCTTGGTTTGTGTAATTTAGACCCATTTGCTCTTGGTCTTTGCCATCATTATTACAATTCTGCTCTTTTTTGTCCTTTCCATCCACTTTTTCTTGATCTTCAATTTGTGGATCTAATTCTCCTTGCTCTGTAGAACTTGAAAATAAATCCTGGGAGAGTGTTTTATTTCCTTTGCAGCCCTTATCTGTGGTATGCATTGTGACTTTCTCATCAAATATTTCCACCTCATGCTCTGCTTTCTGTGGCATATGGTCCTCTCGTTTCAGTGTGGCACTAGTGTTATAAGCCTTGACCCACTCTTCACTTACTTCACCCAGTGTAGCTGACAATGTCCGGAGTGATAATTCTGCCAGAGAGTATAGTGTTACTTTGGTTATAGCATCTGCTTTTTCTATCCTTGTCTCTGATTTTAAACAAGAAGGCATCCATGTGCTGGTACTGGTTTCAACCACATTTATTTCATCTTTAATTTTTTGTACCTCTTGCCCTGGTTCTGTGATATCTAACTGAATTTTCTGTAAAACTGATGGTTTTTCTTTCAAATGCATGTTTTTTTCTGGTGTTGTACTCACCTCTTCTTTCTGAAATGAATATTCTATGGAACATTTTCCATTGTTCAAGATAGGTTCAAAGTTAGAATTTGTATAGATTATTTCTCCTATATCTGATGGTTGTTGGAGCTTTGGGTGATGACTAGATTGGGTTATTTGCATAGCTTCCTCTCCATTTATCCTTGTGTCCACTTCAGAGTAATAAAGAGACTGTATGGAAAGTGTATTTGCTGTTACATCCACCATACTACTTTGTATGTTATTCACATTGACTGGCTCTGCTTGCCCATCATATAGAGCTCTCTCTAACTCTGGATAAGTTGCTGAATCAATCAGTTGTAAACCAGATTGCACAGAACTAGGCCCTGCTGTACTCTCAGCACTGAAACCAAAGTATTGGGAAGTCAGTGGGCCCTCTTCACCACCTTGACCTTTTTTATCTTTGGTGCTGTTTGCGGAAGTATCCTTGTCCATGTGGTGTGTGCACTGAGCTCTCTCTTCACGTTCTGACTGGTCGTGAAGCTCAGGACTAAGACTCATTTTCCACATCACACCCCTATCTTGTATCCCACCACATGTGTTCAGATCAAGAGACACAGGCATAGGGGAAAAGATGGCATTTAGGGACAAACCTGCCATAAGTTTTCCTTGTTTTGGTGTTCCACATCCTGCAGTAGTAAGTGCCTGGGAGATTGTTGCCTTTCTTGTTTTGACAGATAAACAATTGTTACTCATTTCACTTCCCATATCCATGAGTTTTAAATTCTCTCTCTCTTTTGATGTAGGTGTGGAGAAATCCAAAGACTCTAACATTGTTTCTGCCAGTTCCTGGATTAATAATATTTTATTGTTCTCTGCTGTTGGATCTTTCAATACTTTTATATTAAAATTATTAGGTGTGACAGTAGGATGTTTAAATAATTCATAAATCTGTGATTTCAAGGTTTTTGGAAGTCGATGCTTTCTAAGACCACACTGTGGTATAGTTAATATCTTTGAAACAGATGTTTTCCTTCCTTTCATAGTTATACCAGTTGAACACATTTTACCTTGCAAGGCTTTGCATGGAGATACTTTAATTTTCCTTTTATATCTTAGTATATTGGGGGTTGAGAGAGTCAAAGACTCTGTGATGGTTGCCTGTAGTTCATTTTCAAGCCCTTCTCTTTCCAATCTATCCCAACTGTTCAGTTTCTGTGCATGAGTCCCATCAGCAGGGATGCCACTTTTTGTTCTATCAGTGTTAACTTCATCCATTTGTGATTCTTCTGATTGTATGAGAGGAACCTTGAAACTTGACGTACATGTGGCACACTCTCTTTGTGTTAGACCTGTTGTCTGACTTGGCTGTGGAATGTCCTGTTCCACAATGGACAGAATGTTCTTCCCTCCTTGTTTTCTTAATTCATGAGAGTTAGGATCCCTGCTTTGATGTGAACATTGATGTGAACAAAGTGCACAATGTTGGCTATACTGTAGGAATGACTTTAATAATGTGTCATCACCATTTTCCTTTTCTTTAGATTGAAGATCAACTTCTTTGATGTCATCTGAAGTAACCTTCCCTTCACGAAGCAGCATCACTGGCTTCCTTTGTATAGAACAGGGTGTTTTTTTGCTTGATGTGCCCTCTTCTGTTTCTATCTTGCTGCTCATATTAATATCCAGTGCAACATCTGTCAAATCGGATGTTTCATCTGGACATTTCCCCCCTGGATACATGCCTTTCACTTTGGTTGAGTCACATTTCAATTCCCCACTATGGGTTGGATGTGTGCATGAGGCTGAGAACTCCCTCACCACCTTTTCACTGTCTGCAGCCTGTCCCTTGTGTCGTCTTTCATCAGACAGATCGCATTCTCCTTCAGATAGTGCACCATCCTTGGTTTCCCCAAACGTTAGAGGGGAAACAGTGACACAGCCCTCTAGCTTTTCTAGTTGAAGTTCTTCTGGGATGGGGAATAGAGTAGAACAGGAAATAATTTCTGCAGGGGTTTGTGCTTGTACCTGAGTAATTGTTCTCCCTACTTGGTCATGGTCGTTTTCTCGATACATATCATATATAAGGCTGGGGCTATTTTCTGAGATCTGGAAATTATCTGGTTCTTCTGCTTCCTCGTCATAGTTCTTCATGCTACAGGAACTACTCAAATCAGCAGAACCCAGACAGTGTATGTTTCTTCCATCTGGTGACTTCTCTTGTGTTCGTTCCATATGACCAAGTCTTCTTATTCTCTGTTTATCTATTCTTGGTTTTGAATTTCTTTTTTTGTTGGACAAAATATGTACCTTGTAGTGAATGAAGTCCAAACAGGCATCTGCTATGTTACCCCTCTGATGTGAATATTTCATTTCTTTGTGGTTTGGCTTTTTGCTAAAGCTGCAGTTAATTGACTGTAAAACTGATGATTTTATTTCCCTCATAGTTCTATATCTCTGTCTCATTGTCTCCATCTGCTTATTTGATCTCAGTGCTTTTCTCTTCCCTTTAGGTCTAGAAACAAAGGGTCTTGTAACAGAATCAGAAGATGACAGGAATGTTACCTGCAGACCTGTGTATGTCTCTGAATCCTTTTCTGCAGGATACAATTCTAGTTCATGTTCAAAGTTTTTGTCAGATTCTAAGCCATCATTTGTCATGTTTGTAAATTCACCAGGTGAAGAGGTCCCTGTTTCAAGAGATAAAATTTTAGGAACCATGGGGAGGTTTATGCCATTTTCTGTTTTGGTAGTTGTCTGTAATTCTTCAGCTTGGATGGGAGCCATTTGTTGGCTGATCTCCAAAGTACTTTTCAGGGAGTCTTTCTGGCACTTTACACCCTGACAGTTAGCAGATTGTTCTTGACTTAAAGAGATAGGTGATGGGTCTGGCTCATCTGTGAGAGTTTTCTTACTTTGATCTCCATCAGCCCACCCATGTTGGCTATGCTGTGAAGCTGCCTGTACAAAAGGGTTTTCTTTTCCTTCTTTAAATTTTTTCTCTCTGTTGTAGAATGCACTACTTTCAGCAACACATATTCTGTTTGTTAGTTCTCCTTGTTTTAGTTGAGCATGACAGAAAACATCATGCAAACTTCTGTGGATGGATAAGCAAAAAGTGTTTTGACATTCAAGTAAAAATGCCTTAGCTTGGTTTACCCTTTTTAATTTGATCTTGAGGTCCAATTTTGACTTCTTTTTATTGCCTGTGATATTGAATGGTTTTGAAATCGGTGGTTTCACCTTATTCATATACTTGATCCTCACACTACTCATATTTGTGAATCTTGTTTGGTCTTTCTTCTTTTTAGAATGAGTCAAAACAGGCATGCAGTAATTTACAGAACATGAGAAAGTATTTTGATTAGAACCACAACTAATTTCCCTTGTATCATTTCTATTATTTGGAACATTACTTTCATTTGATTGACTCAGAGAGTCTTGTGTCAGTAATTTCCCTGACTTTAGAGGATCCAACTCTAATTCTGCACAACACTGGGGCTCTGTCTGGGTAGCTGTGCTGGTTTTTGTATTTGCAACACAAAATGAATCCATTCTCAGTGAGTCAACTGACTCTCTAACTGCTTCAGTGAAAGATGTTGCTTGAAACATTTCTTTCTCTGTTTTAATCTCCTTCACTGGGCAAGCATCAAATCTGAAGCTCCTCTTAGTGTGAGCTACTATCTCTGGCGGCACTTGCTCCAACACTTCCACACCATGGCACAATTGAACTTCTAGAGGATCTACAGCTTTCCTTTCTGTATTAAGGGAATCCATATTCTTTTCTTTCCTTTCAACTTGAGTTTTTTGCAGTATTATCTTGATATGTATTTTATTATTGTGAATGCTAGACCTCTGAGGGTGAACATTCAGAAGCCCAGGTGCCAGTGTTACATCATGCAGCATTTGTTTTATGACACTTTCAAAGCCATCTCCCACTTTTCTCCTATGGTTCTGAGTGTCATGTGCAGTGACAGAAAACTTCAGGGATAATGCACGTTTTTTCACTATAAATTTGTGCTTGACACCAAGTACACTTTTTGGTCCTGATGATTTTTTTCTGACTTTGAAGGGTCTTGTGGCAACTGCACATACATCCTTGATCAAGACTTCGTCTTCTGTACTATGACCATCCAGTGTTTGTATGGGCTTTTCACAAAATGGGACCCTACATTTTGTTGTTTCAATTAAATGATCACCAGCAGATGATTTCTCTGGCATGGGACCTGCAGCCTTGTCTCTGTCTGTATGCTTGTCTGCCCTTGTATAATTGATTTTCTCCATATCTAGTGACTTATTTTGCCCCTGCAGAATATGCTCACATGTTATTAAGTCTGGAATGACTGCCACTAGACATTTTAAGAAATACTTTTTAACATGGGGAGTGATAAGCTTAGAGACAGAAATAAGATGCATTGCTATATCTGACATGATTTTTTTTTGATGCACCATGTTCTTCTTCTTGCATCTCAACTTAATCTTATTTTCTGAAGTATGACATACTATGATTGGCAATACCTGTGAACGAGAGGTTTTCTTAGCTTTGGGAGGTGGAACTTTAAGACTGACTTTTCTTTCATTGTCTGGTATCTTTCTCCTGTTTCTCTGCCTTTTCATGTTAAGTGAAAGAGACATTGAACTATGTGCATAATACTGGTTTGATTCCAGTGAAGTCACTGTTTGTTGGCTTGTTATTACCTTTTGTTGTGGAAACTCTTCAGCCAATGAATTTGATCTTGAAGATAGAAAATCGGCATTCTGGAAAATACTATTTTGTCCTGTAACCAAATGGTTACTCTTGTTTTGGTCATTAAAATAAACAGAACATTGTGTCTTGCTGAAATATTCATCAGACTCTGTGCCCTTGGTTGAATCTTCTGTTTCAACAATGCATGGGATGTGGTTGAAATGTTGGCTCTTATCTTTATGGTCTATTTGTTGGGCCTGGAAAGAGTCTTGTGTGCTGCTAGAAAATGGCAGTCTCATAACATCTAGAGGTTGAACACAACCAGGCTGGCTGATGACTGACTCTTGGTTGTGAATACATTGTTGGGTTTGGGTAGTAAACTGTTGTTCATAAATCAACTGATTCTGCATAGCATTTTGGTCCAGGAAAGTATCCAGTGCTTTAGCAGGAAGTTCTTCATTAGGATGTTGATATTGAACCAATGGCTCCTGAGATCTGAGGTGCAGACAATCATCATCCCTCCCTGACATAGCTTTAGGGTTCACAGGGATCTTCCTTCTCACATTTTCTTCCACATGTCTAATTTGGTCACTAGAGAGAAATAAATGGACAGGCGGGCATGGTGTCACATTGAGATCCTCAGCTCTTGTAAATGACAAAGTGCTTTGAAAACTGACAGCATCAGTAGTTGTGGTTTTTGTCCTGTTGGTTTTCATTATTGAAAATAAATTATTGGAGGAAAGTGGTTTTGATTGATATTCACTTTGTGGATATTTTCTGTGAAAGGATCTCATGAAAAAATTCTTTACTTTTGAGTGAAACATGGACAAGGATGTACTGGTCCCACATGAAGATGAGCGAGTTTCACAAAAATGGCTTTCTTGGTATTCATATTCATTGGATGAAAAGGCTTCTTCTCTAATGTTATCTGCATTCTCCACATATGGAGGACTGGTTGTTACTCTTCCTGAAAAGGTTTCAACTCTGTAGATAAGAAAACAGTGCATGTGAGCATATTATAGGGCCTCGTTCTAGACTATCACAGATGAAAACAGGTCTGTTTACAAACAAAAAAAGCAAAGCTACCATCTAAGGAAGTCCTCACCTTATCATTTCCCTTAGACCAGTTGATAAATGAAGTTCATCAATCTCTCTAAAATTGTTTTTAATAGCAATGAGCCAAAGAATGAAGATTATATCCTTTTATAAAGAATATATTTCTATTCCTTACATAAAATTTTTATGTAAAACAGTCTTATGGAAATTTTGTAGATACAACAGAAGAATAATGTCCCATAAAATAAAGTGTAGTTTTCTATACATACACTTGCCAGCTATTTGTGAGGAAAAGAAAACCCTACAATTGGGGAGAAGTATTTGTCAGTGGACTTGTGGGTCAGACTAATGATTTGTACTGATGAATGTATAGCAAAGATGTTGCATTCTTCTATGTGGATGTCTACTCTGTCAAACAAAAATTCATACCTGCCGCATCAACATTACCTTAGTATGGGGGTTAATTTATATGTTACCTTAGCTGAGCCCAATACATGCTACAAAATTATAATGGGTACTTCTGTGAGGGGATTTTAGGGATGAGATTAATATATGAACTAGTAAATTATAAAGGAGTCTGTTCTCCCTAATGTGGGAAGAGTCATCTCATCTGCCTTAGGCATAAACAGCAAAAAGAGTAATTTCTTCACAGCAAGAAGAAATTTTGCCAAATTAATCCTCAGACTTACATTGCAGATTTTAGACTTACAAGTAACTATAGTTTCATAGACCAATGTCCTATAGCTAACATCAGGCCAACTAAAAAGGTAGAACTATGGTACAAAAATGAAACTTTAGCAAGGTGTGGAAGCTTATACCTCAGGAGGCTAAATCAGGAGAGTCTGGAATTGAAGCCCAGTCTGGGTTACACAGTGAAACCCTGTCTCAAACAAAAATTAATTTATGAGCTAATTAACTAAAGGTCAACCTCTGTGAATCCCAAACAGTGGATTTTCTGCACAGTATGTGTCCACTGGAGCGTGTCCTCTTTAAGCCTGCTCCTCCAAAACCACTGCCTACCACCCTGTACATATCACTAAATGCTGGTTACACTATGTTTTTTTTCTCATTTACCATAATACTTAATTATTAAATTATGAACTAATGGTTGTAGTGCTAAGGATTAAACCCAAGGTCTAGAACATACAAGGCAATGGCAAAAACTCTACTACTGAGTTCCCTGAAGTTTAATTTATGTCAGGTAAACAATCAAAAACAACAAATAATGGACTATTATATCACACCATAATGAAAAGTATGTAGTTTTTTTCTCAAAAGTCCTATCTTATTTTCACTTTTCATTTAAAGCACTTTGCAGGCTCTCTTTTGATGTCTGAATTGCACCAATACTGACATTCTTTGTACCTACATTCTTGTAGGTAAAATAAATATTTATTTTTTCAAACAAAGATATATTTATTTATTGTGAATGCAAATACAGAAATATGAAACAGCTCATTTGAAACAAAGGTGGCCACTAAGTCCTGTAGAATAATACAGCATATATATACTGGAGAAAGAGACACAGCAGATTGACATTTTTCCTTGGAGCTACCAGGACTAAAACAACAGTTTCAGAGGGTTAGTCTGTAGTGAAAGCATGGCAGCAGGCAGCTAGGCACAGCACTGAAGGAGTAGTTGAGTTTACACTTGATCCACAGGTTCTTGGCAGAGAGAGATTGTGACTGGCGCTGGTGTGGCTTTCAAACCTCAGAGCCCATCCCCAGTGACACACCTCTTCCAACAAGGACTCACCTTCTAATCCTTCCTAAATAGTCTAAAAATTAGGAACCAAACATTCAAATATCTGAGCCTATGGGGAACATTCTTATTAAAACCACCACAGCATATTTCATCATGCTCCTCAGAATGGAGCAATTTAAATGTCATGCAATTTAAATGTCATGAATTGTTTATTAGAATTTTCTATTGAATATTTCCAACTGTAGTTGGTCTCAATGACCTGAAACCATGGAAAGCGAAACTTTAGATTAGAGCTGACTGCTGCATCTTTCCTGAAAGTACACTTAAGAATTAGCGCCTACCTATGCAGGAAGGAGGGAATAATAGCAGAGGGCAAAGCTAAAAATCACTGTCCTTGATTTTGAAGTTTTCCTCTTTCCTGTCAATCTTCTAGCGAGCATTGGAGACAGTGCAGCTCTTGTGCTGATAGCTGTGGCGTCTCAGACAGTCCTTTGGGTGTCTGACAGCACCATGGTGTTTCCCCAGTTTGCAATGGCAATCCCACTGCCAGATACTCTTGACAAGGATCCTACTAACCTGGAGCCTCAGCACGCTGTTTCTGTTTCTTGAGGCACCTACCTTAGGACTAAAATTTCTAGGACCAATGGAATAACAAAGCAACTAGATTTTCAATTTTAGTACATTTGAAATATGAAAGAAATGAGACTATCAATTTCCAGGTTCATTCTGCACAGAAATGAGTGATCTATAGGAAAATAACAGTTTGTGTGTTGCTGTGAAACACTTGTGTACACTGTGTGAATACATGTCCCTCTGAATGGTTTAATAATCAAGCTGACTGGCCAATAGCTGAACAGGATAAAGTTAGATGGGAGAGCCAAACTGAGAATGATGGGATGAGGAAGGGCAGAGTCAGAGGAATCACCAGCTAGATGCAAAAGGAGTCATATACATAAAATGAAATAGAGGTAAAGGCCATGAGCCTTGGGACAATGTGTGGATAATTAATATAAGCCTCAGAGTGATTATTTGGAAGTGACTATGGGATGGGACAGGACAGAGACACTTCTGTTTACAGTGTGTGGTATGCATAATATGTGTGTATTCACGTGTGGGTGGTCATGTGTGTATGCAGGTGCACAAACACGTTTGCACACATGCATATGGGGGCCAGAGGTTGAGGTCAGGTGTCTTTCTCCTTAACTCTGTCTTTTGTCTTGAGGAAGGGTGTCTTGGGGTAACCTAGTTAGTCAGGTGCTAGCTATCTGATGTCTTAACTTCTTGAGTGCATAGGATTGCAGGTGGGCATCACACTCCATTAGTATACATGTGGGTGCTGGTCTTCTGTAGGCAAGTGCTTTAACCATCCACTGGGCCTTCTTGAAGCACCCAGACCCTCCGTTTCCTAAACATTGACAGTGGTTTTTTCAGAGTTTAATACAAGCTTTGGAATGTGATAAGTTATTCTCTCTGTGGTTCCATCTCTTCATGTCCATCTCCCACTACTTTTCCCCGTTAACTTTTCCACAACTCTGAAATCATTGCTATTTCTTTCACATAGCTTGTTGTTTCTTATTTCCTTGTCTTTGTATATGTCCTGGAGTGCCTTTATTATATTCCAAACTATGTTTTCAGGCTAATTTACTTTTGTTCCTTAAAATCCAGCTCCAGGATCCATGAATGGTTCATCTTGCAAAGCTGCTTGCCACCAGGCCTGATGATCGAGTTACATCCCCAAGACCTATATGGTCAGAGGAGAAAACCCACTCCTGAAAGGTGTCCTCTGATCTCCCCATGTGACCCCCACCCTACCATCATCCATGCAAACAAAAAAATCAATACATCAATGTAATTTTAAAAATTGAAACCCCAGCTTTCATGTGCCCTTCATGGAACCATTCTCAGAGTCCTAGGCTGGTTTAGACATCTAAATGTTTGTATACTGGGCGGCTTTGTCCTTTAGCTACCTTACATGTCTGAGATCAGAAGCTAGCTCAAGTGCTTATATCCTAGCATCAAACAGTGCTCACTGCAAAGATGTTTAATAATCACTGGATGAGTTTTAGTTAAAACAACTGTGATAGCAACAAAGAGTAATGGTGATGTTGGTGTCTAGTCCACAGAAGTTCTTGTGAGCTGACAGAATACATTCTGAATTTCAGAGAGCCTCTCAGTTTTACTGCACCCACTTCATTGTTAGCTCCATCCACAGTAGATGGTGAATTGTTTTACCAAGTGAATTATCAGAAATGGTGGCTACCATTTCTTTTTGAGTAGTGGAGGCATTTTATCATAAGAAGCCAAGATAACTCTGTAAGCTTTGGCTACTCTAAAGGATAATTTTACCAATATATGAAAAGCCCTTATCACAGTTTACTACACCTTTAGAAAGATGCTTCTCTGGGATTCAGAAATACAAGTCTGAATAGAATATAAATAAATTCTATTGTTTCATCTCACTTACTTTTCTGTTGAAGATGTTTGGGAAATGGACCAGCACTCTATAGCTACATGGAAACAAAAAGTTAGAGCATCAGGGGAAGAAACCCAGGCTAAGTAAGTTTAATGATAAAAGATGAAATCGTAAACTGGGTAGTTCTGGCTCATTCCTTTAATAACAACACTTGTTAGGCAGAGGCAGGCAAATCTATGAGTTTGAGCCCAATCTGATATACAGAGCTAGTTCCAGGACTGCTAAGATCAAGAGTACTCAGAGAAAAACTTCCTCAAAAAAGCAAAAGCAAACATACAAACAAAAACCAAAAAGATGAAATTGTGTGATATTTACCAAGTATCTTTCCTCTTTGGCAATCATCTTCATTCTGCTTTAATGGAGAATATCAAAATGTTAGAGAAATAGCCCAGTTATCAAAGTTAAATTTTTAAAAAGTTTTTCTTACGTGTGTTTTAGAAAAATAGGAGAGAATGATCAGTCATTTCTTACCCTCTGAGAACACGAACTACCATTTTTCCATAGCTCAAGTTTCTTCTTAAATAATTCACAAGTTTTTATGAAGATTATCTCACAAGCAACTCCCAGGAAAATTGTAAACAGAATTGATATCCAAGCATTGTAAAAGATCCAGTAGTCTAGAAAGCTCCACATTGTGTAAAACCTGTTCTCATCTAAGACAGATTTCACTCTGGTTTTAAAGAAATGGTATATTTTTTACATAATGACCTGGTATCGCATTGATACCAGAAGGCATTGATTTTTAAGAAGCCTGTCAAATGTAAAATACTGCCTTGTCCATCTATTTCATAAATACAAGAAAAGTTATGCCAGAAAAGTAAAACATTTCTAGCATCATTCAGGGCCTGTGTCCAATGGTGCAGTGCTTGCTCTGGGACTGAGTAAAGTAAGGTACATGTCATAGTGGGTATTTAACTGAGCTCACAGCAACTCCTGCAGTAACAAAAGGTCATAGGTGAACCATGTACAGTCCATATATGGTACAAGTGTTGGAAGTCTGTAGGCAGATTTGGGGGGCAAGACCTTTCCCTGCATACCCTGTGGTGTTCTGGAACTCTGATTAGTCTGGATTGGCTTTGAACTAGAGATCCTCCTCTGCTCCCACCATTGTGTAGTTAGTCTTCCCCCCCCCCCCCATGAGACCGGGTCTTCTATAGCACAAGGTAGCCTGGAACTTTTTGTATAGCCTGAGCTGCCCTTGAACTCATGAAAATCTTTTGCCTGAGTTCAGTCTTTAGAACCCTTATAAACAAAAACCAAACATAATAGTGTGTGCTTATAATCCCAGTGCTGGGGAACATCCCTGAGGTGCCGTGGCAAGCCAGTATAGCCTCCTTGGTGAGTCCCAGGCCAATGACAGAAAAGTGGTGAGCAGCACTCAAGGAAGAACACCTGGTGCAGTTTCTTACCTCCACATACATAAACATTCACCAACACAAACATCACATGCGCACACAGAACACAAATACATTCATATAAAATGTGTGTGTCCATTAACTACATTAACCACTCTAGTGCCCATTAACTACATTCCAGACAAACAGCCTCTGGTGGAAACTTCCTCATCCATATCTCATCCACATCCGCACCATTAGGACATTGAAACAAATTCTAGATACATCATTTGGTTCATAACATGTAAAAATAATAGAATCTGTTTGTTAAAATCAAACCAGATTACAGTAGAGACACATTTAAAATATATGCTTCAGAAGACTGCTTGTTACTTTTGGTGATACTAATCAGAGCTATAATCTTAAATTTAATTTCTAGTCATAAACAATTGGGGAGAAATAACTGAGTGATCAGGTGCATTGTGATGACTATTCTTGGTTGTCAACTTGACCACATTTGGAACTAACTTAAACCCAAGTGGTTGGGTAAACCTCTGAGAAATTTTTTCTTAATTAAACCTTTAGAAATGGGAAGTCCCATTTCTGAACTGGAAAGATACACCTTTATCTGGGTCGTACCTTCTGCTGTCATCCTATATAAGAAGGAGGTTTGCTCTCTTTGCTTGCTATTACCCTTGTTGGTAATTCCTTCACTGGCCTTAGAACCTAACTTCTTTGGGATTGTAGTACACTGAAGACCAGCTGAGAAATCCAGTTTCAAGGATCACACAACAACTAGATTCCTCTCTTGGTGGACAGCCATGTTGGACTAGCTGGACCACAGCCTGTAAACCATTCTAATAAATCCCCTTTCTAGACAAATATAGATTACAGATAGAAAGATAAATAGATTCATTCTATCCATTCTGTTCCTCTAGAGAACACTTACTAGTACATGCATAATGCAAAACTGCCACAAAAAGTGAAAGAATCAAAAATATTACAAAAAATTAAAAACAAAATTAGGCACAAAAGACTACTTTTAGTCAGAGGAAAAAAATTACATTCCAATTTTTATAAAGGTAGATGAAGAAAAAAGTTCATAAGAATATCTTAGTTATCTGCTTGATGTATTTTTTCTATAGTTTTTGACAGTATTATCACCTTGACACAATCTAGAATCCTGGGGTGGGGGAATCTCAATGGGAAATTTTCTAGATAAGGTTAGCTCCTGGGATTGTCTTGATCACATTAGTTGATAGTGGAAAACTCAGCCCACTATGGGTGGCAACATTCCCTAGGGCAAGGCCCTGGGCTGAATATAATGGGGAGAGTGAGCTGACACTGGCAATCTTGTGTGCATGTGTTCCTCAATCTTGGCTGTGGATGTGATGGGACCAGATACTTCTAATTTCTGCTACCTTGATTTCCTCTGAACTATTACCTGGAAGCGCGAGACAAACCCTTCTTACCCAAACTGCTATTGTCTGGGTGTTTCATCACCACAGCAGGAAAGAAACTAAGAAACATCTATGTCATGAGTTAGAGTAAATATGAATTCTTCCGAGTGCAGTCTTACTAGAAGACACTATACCCTTTTGTATTTCTCTTAGTGATTTACACATTCGATGGGTGAAACCTCATCCGCAGCCCACTCTCCCATACTGCAGCTTTCTCCCTTGTTTGTTCTCCATCACTCCAGTTCCCCCAGTTCCATGCACTGTAGGAGGCTGTCACATTGTGACATAGACTCTGGCCTTGTTACTGGTGTCACTACAGGGAGGTCTTCATCTGAGCATAAGGAACTCTGGAAGCTGTTTCTACACCAGGATAACATAACTGTATAAGAAGTGAATGCCAGTCACTTAACTACATAGTTAGCCCATTAATCCCAGAGAGAATGCATCCTAACTAAGTCCCTCTTAATTCCAGACCCAGAAATGTTTGCAGCCTCTACAGTCTCACTGGATGTGGAGGCAGATTTGAAGGGTAGGTCAGAGAGGAAAGAAATAATGATTTTAACTACACTGAAAATAAATTACAAATCTTCAAGGCCACAATGCCGCATTTTTTTTTAGCATTTATACTATATGTATTATAATTGTGCTCATATAAGTATACATTAAAACACACACACATGCATACATACATATAAATATTGCTTTATCAATATCCATATTGGAGTATGAATTCTGAGTGACCTTAATAACAAAAACCTGGAGTCAGCATTAGGGGCAAAAGCTGAAGGAGTGCAGACGCAGAGTAGTCAACCACTAGAGTTCTTACCTTCAACAATGTGTGGTGATATCTTGCTTGTACAAATAAAGCCTGTCTACAGGTCAGAGAATGGAGCTTGTCAGTAGCTAACCATAGAGGTCTGGAGTTCTGTACAGACAGACAGGAAGGAGATGGCTGGGCAGAGAGAAGATTTAACAGGGCAGAAACGGGAACTCATGCTCTTGTCTGCTGAGATACTAAGGAGGTAACTTTCTCCTCCTCTCTATTCTCTCAGCATTTCCCTCTATATCTGACTCCAGGTTTTCATTATTTAGACAAATTAACAACTCCATTTACATTTTGGCGCTCACGTGGCTAGAACATTAACAGCAGGTAATGGGCAAATCTCCCAAAGTGGCCCCCAGTTCAACCCTAAGAAAGCCACCAGCTGCTGTGGGCTCACTCAGTCAAGCAGGCCATGCCTAACTCGCTGCTCCTCCCCTCCACCCATCACCAGTGGCTTACACTATCCCTAGAACCTTTTTCTTTTAATTCAGTGCTTTGACCCAGCTTTTATTTAGACCAAAGGTACACACTCCCAGAGTCCGCACACCCATTCCAGCTGGCCCACAGCTTCCGCCCACCGTGTTGTAATCAGTAATTTGCAATCAGTGCATGAAGGTTGTTCCATTTGCCCTTTTTAGCAAAACTTCGTTTGGTTTGCTTTGAGTTTTTGCTTAGACTCCAAAGGTTGGGCACCATTTGGACAAGTTTGACCAGAGCTTTGGTAGTTTAGGACTTGCTCTAGCGGTTCATCTGCGACACCTGCTGGCCAAACATCATCATTGTAACTCAAAGTTAAGCACATAAGGGGAAAGGATGACTTTCTGAGTATTTAATTTAAAGTAAATTATTGGATATATTTGCATTTTAAGATGTTTAATTAATTAACAAATAAAAATGTTATCCATACTTTGTTATTGTGGATAATATTATCATCCAGGAAGTTAAAAAAAATTTTGCTTCTACTATAGATGGGATTTTAGGTTTTTTCTTTTCTTTTCTTTTTTTCTTCTTTTTTTTTTTTTTTTCCTGAGACAGGGTTTTCTATGTAGCTTTGTGGAAAATGCAGGCCTCGAACTCACAGAGATACTCCTGCCTCTGCCTTCTGAGTGCTGGGATTAAAGGCATGCACACACATGGCCCCATGGATGGAATTTTAGAAGAGGTATAAGACCTACCTGGGATGTTTACACTCTTAGCTATAATTGCTACTATCTTGATAATCCATACGATATCCTTAAAATGATTTTATGATAGATCTAAATGAGGAAATTATAGAAATGATAGACTTTAAAGATAGGTAATGAAAGCTTAGCAAAAAGGATTCATACAATTAAAAATGTCAATCTCAATTTGACAAACTGAGTTCACAAAATGGAATATGGTAATGAACTATGGTAATGAACTCTTAACAAAAAAATCATTCCACGTCTAAGAGTAATTACAAGCTTGCAGATAGAACATTGTTTTTGGAAGGCAATCTGCATATCATCCCTAAGAATGAGAATATTAACTCTCTGGAATCAAATGTAAATAGTGAGAACAAGAAACTGACTGATTTAATGAAATCGTTGGAAGGTTTTATAGCTCAGGAAGTTCAAATGCTCCAAGAAACAATGGTGAATAGATTACAGGCTATAGAAAACATTAAAACTGATATACCAGGAGTGAAGATACAAACTAAATAGAATAAAAGCAAGCAAAGAATGAATATCCAGATGGATAGAACACAAAGTGGAGCCTATAATGGTGAAGGATTTAGGAGACATTAAGAAAGCAGTAGTTTCTTATGTCATGCATTCACCATATGTGAGGCAGTTAGTAAAGGCATGGGCTACAAGAAATAGAGTAACTCCTAATGACTGGATTCAATTTGTCTCAGCTGTTTTAGAACTTGATTCACAGCTACAGTGAAAGGAAGAGGCCAAGGCCCTTGAACATCAAGGCAGAATCACAGGTTATGGGGCTTCCCAAGATCAAATTCATGGTAAGGGCCATTATGCAGATGCAGATACTCAAGCCACATACAATGAGCACATCTTGTCCCTGTGTCATA